GAAATTCCATCCATATCCTTTGATTCTTTGCAAATACACCCTTATTACCAACACATTCTCTACTTAATTTCCTTACATTTTACTCCCCACTATTCCTACTAATTAGGGGTAGAATGGTCATTATGCCCCAAAGGAAGAATTCTCTAGAAAACTCAAGAAAGTTGTTGTTAGGCTCTTCGCCGCGGCGAAGAACATTCCGTCACCCCGACAAAACACGGCAGAACCTACCCGTGGGTGCAGCACCTCATCGCCATGGCGAAGATTCTCCTTCGCCCCGGCGAAGATTGGATTTCCAAAATTCACCAAATCTCAACCAATTTCAAAGCAAATACTTAACCAATACAACATACAAACTCAATTGAAACTGAATCAATGAACTTTTAAGTAATACAACAAATCTTAAATACGTACCTTAAGCGGGGCGTTACAGCGCTTCCATCTGATTCTCAATCGATGCATCAACATTACGATCATCCTCGATTACTATGTTATGCATAATAATACACGCAGTCATTATATCATGTAATACATTTTTTTTTCTTAAAAACGTGTCGATCCTGCCTCTATTAGGAAACGATCCATTGAGGCAGCGGAAAATAAAACTTTAAACAATACGAATCGTTCCATAGAACCATGATCAGGGCACAAATTTACAGCTTATATCAAAATAGAATCTGCAGAAAATTAATCTAGAGTTTAAGAAATCATACGCACGTTTGGAGGCTCCTCCAAGTTATCTCTGAATGTATTTTGCTACCGACCCAAGTGTAGGATTGAACCAATGTAGTCTACACGAAGACAATCGCAAGGAACTAAAGAGAGATTTGCTAAATCCTCTTTAGTCTTAAGAATCAAGAAGAAATGAAGAATGCTTGATTTTTCAATCAAAACAAATACGGCGTGAGAGAGTAAAATAAGGGGCTGTGTGTTTTCTATTTTTCAATCAAAGTGAATGAATGAAAAACTCTTACCTTTTACAAATAACCTTTTTCTTTTATAGGAAAATTTAATTGCCCTACTCCCATATGAAATAGGCTTGAGCTCCAACCCAAACACCCCTTGTTTCTAAAAATCCCAATTAGATATTTATTTTAATTCATCATTATCTCAATTAAAATCAATAAATATAAATATTTAATATATATATATATATATATTAACATTTAACAATAATGATAATTTATTTAAATATATGCTAACACATATTTAAATGTAATTTCACTTATTTAATTTTTCTAACAAATTAAATAAAAGGCTACGACATCAGCAAATTTAATTGCACTGTGAAATTACCAAAATA